TATTGTTGTGACTGTGTTATTGTTGTGACTGTGTTATTGTTGTGATTGTGTTATTGTTGTGACTGTGGGTTTTTGGGTTGTGACTGTGTTATTGTTGTGATTGTGTTATTGTTGTGACTGTGTTATTGTTGTGACTGTGTTATTGTTGTGACTGTGTTATTGTTGTGACTGTGTTATTGCTGTGACTGTGTTATTGTTGTGACTGTGTTTTTGCTGTGACTGTGTTATTGCTGTTACTGTGTTACTGTGACTGTTATTATTGTTACTGTGTTATTGTTGTTACTGTGTTATTGTTGTCACTGTGTTATTGTTGTGACTGTGAGTTATTGTTGTGACTGTGGGTTATTGTTGTGACTGTGTTATTGTTGTGACTGTGTTATTGTTGTGACTGTGTTATTATTGTGGCTGTGTTATTGTTGTGACTGTGTTATTGTTGTGACTGTGTTATTGTTGTGACTGTGTTATTGTTGTTGACTGTGTTATAGTTGTGACTGTGGGTTATTGTTGTGATTATGTTATTGTTGTGACTGTGTTATTGTTGTGACTGTGTTATTGTTGTGACTGTGTTATTGTTGTGACTGTGTTATTGTTGTGACTGTGTTATTATTGTGGCTGTGTTATTGTTGTGACTGTGTAATAGTTGTGACTGTGGTTATTGTTTGATTATGTTATTGTTGTGACTGTGTTATTGCTGTGACGTGTTATTGTTGTGACTGTGCTAATGTTGTGACTGTGTTTTGTTGTGAATGTGGGTTATTGTTGTGATTGTGTTATTGTTGTGACTGTGTTATTCTTGGGGCTTTGTTATTGTTGTGACTGTGTTGTTGCTATAACCTTGCTACTTTTGTGACTGTGTTATTATTGTGACTGTTATTGTTGTAACTGTGTTATTGTTGTGACTGTGTTATTGTTGTGACTGTGTTATTGTTGTGACTGTGTTATTTTTTGACCGTGTTATTGCTGTGATGTGTTACTGTGACTGTGTTATTGTTTTTACTGTGTTATTGTTGTGACTGTGTTATTGTTGTCACTGTGTTATTGTGATTGTGTTATTGTTGTGACTGTGTTATTGTTGTGGCTGTGGGTTATTGTTGTGACTGGGGTTATTGTTTGTACTGTGGGTTATTGTTGTGACGTGTTATTGTTGTGACTGTGTTATTGTTGTGATTGTGTTATGCTGTGACTGTGTTATTGTTGGGACTGTGGGTTATTGCTGTGACTATGTTATTGTTGTGACTGTGTTATTGTTGTGACTGTGGGTCATTATTGTGACTGTGTTATTGTTGTGGCTGTGTTATTGTTGTGAATGTGTTATTGTGACTGTGTTATTGTTGTGACTGTGTTATTGTTGTGACTGTGGGTTATTGTTGTGGCTGTGTTATTGTTGTGACTGTGGGTTATTGTTGTGACTGTGTTATTATTGTGACTGTGGGTTTATTGTTGTGACTGGGGATTATTGTGAATGTGTTATTGATGTGACTGTGTTATTGATGTGACTGTGTTATTGTTGTGACTGTGTTATTGTTGTGACTGTGGGTTATTGTCGTGACTGTGTTATTGTTGTGACTGTGCTAATGTTGTGACTGTGTTATTGTTGTGACTGTGGGTTTTGTGTGACTGGTTATTGTTGTGACTGTGGGTTATTGTCGTGACTGTGTTATTGTTGTGACTGTGCTAATGTTGTGACTGTGTTATTGTTGTGACTGTGGGTTATTGTTGTGACTGTGTTATTGTTGTGACTGTGGGTTATTGTTGTGACTGTGTTATTGTTGTGACTGTGTTATTGCTGTGTCTGTGTTATTGTTGTGACTGGGGTTTATGTTGTGGACTGTGTTATTGTTGTGACTGTGTTATTGTTGTGATGTGTTATTGTTGTGACTGTGTTATTGTTGTGACTGTGTTATTGTTGTTACTGTGTTATTATTGTGAATGTGTTATTGATGTGACTGTGTTATTGCTGTGAGTGTGGGTTATTGTTGTGACTGTGTTATTGTTGTGACTGTGTATTGCTGTGACTGTGTTATTGTTGTGACTGTGGGTTATTGTCGTGACTGTGTTATTGTTGTGACTGTGCTATTGTTGTGACTGTGTTATTGTTGTGACTGTGGGTTATTGTTGTGACTGTGGGTTATTGTTGTGATGTGTTATTGTTGTGACTGGGTTATTGTTGTGACTGTGTTATTGTTGTGACTGTGTTATTGTTGTGACTGTGTTATTGTTGTGACTGTGTTATTGTTGTGACTGTGTTATTGTTGTGACTGTGTTTTGTTGTGACTGTGGGTTATTGTTGTGACTGTGTTATGTTGTGACTGTGTTATTGTTGTGACCGTGTTATTGTTGTGACTGTGTTATTGTTGTGACTGTGTTATTGTTGTGACTGAGTTATTGTGACTGTGTTATTAATGTGACTGTGTTATTCTTGTGACTGTGTTATTGTTGTGCCCGTGTTTTGTTGTGACTGTGTTATTGTTGTGACTGTGTTATTGTTGTGACTGTGTTATTGTTGTGACTGTGTTATGTTGTGACTGTGTTATTGTTGTGACTGCGTTATTGTTGTGACTGTTTATTGTTGTGACTGTGTTTATTGTTGTGACTGTGTTATTGTTGTGACTGTGGGTCATTATTGTGACTGTGTTATTGTTGTGGCTGTGTTATTGTGTGAATGTGTTATTGTGACTGTGTTATTATTGTGACTGTGTTACTGTTGTGGCTGTGTTATTGTTGTGACTGTGTTATTGTTGTGACTGTCTTATTGTTGTGACTGTGTTATTGTTGTGACTGTCTTATTGTTGTGACTGTCTTATTGTTGTGACTGTCTTATTGGTGTGACTGTCTTATTGTTGTGACTGTCTTATTGTTGTGACTGTCTTATTGTTGTGACTCTGTTATTGTAATAAAGTTGGTAGAATTACCGACAATATGTAAAGTAAAAGGACACAAGTGCAACTAATGTGACATTTATTGTGGCAACGTTTCGCTCTCCAGGAGCTTTATCAAGCCATTACTTGATAAAGCTCCTGGAGAGCGAAACGTTGCCACAATAAATGTCACATTAGTTGCGACTGTGTTATTGTTGTGACTGTGGAACTGTTGTGACTGTGGTATTGTTGTGACTGTGGGTTATGGTTGGGACTGTGTTATTGTTGTGACTGTGTTATTGTTGTGACTGTGTTATTGTTGTGGCTGTGTTATTGCTGTGATTTTGTTATTGTTGTGACTGTGTTATTGTTATGACTGTGTGTTATTGTTGTAACTGTGTTAATGTTGTGAGATGTGTTAATTTTGTGACTGTGAGTTATTGTTGTGACTGTGTTATTGTTGTGACAATGTTATTGTTGTGACTGTGTTATTGTTGTGACTGTGTTATTGTTGTGACTGTGTTATTGTTGTGACTGAGTTATTGTTGTGTTGTGGGTTATTGTTGTGACTGTTATTGATGTGATTGTGTTATTGTTGTGACTGTGGGTTATTGTTGTGACTGTGTTATTGTTGTGACTGTGTTATTGTTGTGGCTGTGTTATTGTTGTTATTGTGTTATTGTTGTGACTGTGTTATTGTTGTGACTGTGGGTTATTGTTGTGGCTGTGTTATTGTTGTGACTGTGGGTTATTGTTGTGGCTGTGTTATTGTTGTGATTGTGTTATTGTTGTGATTGTGTTATTGTTGTGACTGTGGGTTATTGTTGTGACTGTGTTATTGTTGTGACTGTGTTATTGTTGCGACTGTGTTATTGTTGTGACTGTGTTATTGTTGTGATTGTGTTAGTTGTTGTGATGTGTTATTGTTGTGACTGTGAGTTATTGTTGTGACTTGTGTTATGTTGCGACTGTGTTATTGTTGTGACTGTGTTTATTGTGTGACTGTGTTACTGTTGCGACTGTGTTATGTTGTGATTGTTTTATTGAGGTGACTGTGGGGTATTGTTGTGACTGTGTTATTGTTTGTGACTGTGGGTTATTGTTGTGACTGTGTTTTGTTGTGACTGTGTTATTGTTGTGACTGTGTTGTTGTTGTGACTGTGTTATTGTTGTGACTGTGTTATTGTTGTGACTGTGTTATTGTTGTGACTGTGTTATTGTTGTGCCTGTGTTATTGTTGTGACTGTGTTACTGTTGCGACTGTGTTATTGTTGTGATTGTGTTATTGTTGTGACTCTGGGTTATTGTTCTGACTATGGGCTATTGTTGTAACTGTGTTATTGTTGTGACTGTGTTATTGTTGTGACTGTGTTATTGTTGTGACTGTGGTTATTGTTGTGACTGTGTTGTTGTTGTGACTGTGTTTATTGTTGTGACTGTGGTTATTGTTGGTGACTGTGTGTTATTGTTGTGCTGTGTTATTGTTTGTGACTGTGTTATTGTTGTGGACGTGTGGTATGTCGTGACTGTGTTATTGTTGTGACGGGTGTTTATTGTTGTGACTCTGGGTTATTGTTTGACTATGGTATTGTTGGTAACTGTGTTATTGTTGTGACTGTGTTATTGTTGTGACTGTGTTATTGTTGTGACTGTGTTATTGTTGTGACTGTGTTATTGTTGTGACTGTGTTATTGTTGTGACTGTGTTTTTGTTGTGACTGTGTTATTGTTGTGACTGTGTTATTTGTTGTGACTGTGTTATGTTGTAACTGTGTTATGTTGGACTGTGTTTATTGTTGTGACTGTGTTATTGTTGTGACTTGTGTTATTGTTGTGACTGTGTTATTGTGTGACTTTATTGTTGTACTGTGTTATTGTTTGTGACTGTGTTATTGTTGTGACTGTGTTATTGTTGTGACTGTGTTATTGTTGTGACTGTGTTATTGTTGTGACTATGAGTTACTGCGCCGTTCGTGGACTATTCCCAGTGGATTATTATTATTCAAGCTGGACAAATTTAGATTTAGAAAAGATAAAGGGAAGTACTAGTTTGACAATAGAGTTGTAGATGAGTGGAACAAGCTCAAAGGTAGCGTCATGAGAAGAGAACTTTAAACTGACAGCTGGTGATGTTACAGGAGAGCCGCTGTCAGCGCCTGTGTTGGTCGGTGCCAGGGAGATGTATGAACCATCTGAACTCATCAAGATTGGATGTCAGCCCAGACGACCCCTACACGACGACCACCAGCCCACCCTCCAGTGGTTCCTGGAAGGCAGTCAGGTACGTTCCTCTACAAGACGACCCCTCCCTCCCCCAGCCTACCCTCCAGTGGTTCCTGGAAAGCAGTCAGGTACGCTCCTTTTGAGGGTAGTCAGCTGTTCAGTGGTGTTCAGTCAGTGGTTTCTGAAGTTAATCAAGTCTAGTAGGGGCTCCCATAGTACTTAGAGGATAGCAGTGTGCCTAATATCTAAGAGTTCCCAGAGCTTTGGTAGCGAGATAGGTATTCTTCAGTTATTCGTAGAAGGTAGTGAACCACTTAAGTAATGCTTGCAGTCGTAAGCTAGACTCTTAAACACAAAGAAAAAATGTGAAAATGAGTAATGTTTCGAACGAAAATAGTGTTATATAACTTGACAGTGAGCTCAGGTGTTTAGCGTGTCAGTCACAATTGTACAAATCTGCTTTCTTTTTTATGGAATTGGACACTCGACAGAGTATTTTTTATTTTAATTCATGATAAGCGCTAATTACATGTGGATTACTCAGCGCCAGACGTAGTGGAAGTTTGATCCTCCGTCTGCTGAGCGCGAGACCTATTTAAATAAGTCGGTAGGATCAGGTCTTCCTCACGGCTCGACTATCAGTACAACTGAACTAACATAACGTGGATGATGCAGTATAACGTTGTGTGACTAATGTTAGGTTGGGCGAGTTTACATCAGCTTAAATAAGATTATGTCAGCTTAAATAAGGTTACGTCAGCTTAAATAAGGTTTGTTTACCACGGTCGTCTAAAAGTTTTTTGTCTTAGAATATTGGTAAACAGTTTGGTGGAGGCTCGCGTGTGGCGTTTCACTCCCACGGCTCCCCCCAGTTTTTGTTTTTAGTTCACTCAACCTCCTTCCCTCCCTATTCCCCCCCCTTTTTCCCCAAACCAAAAACCCTTTCAAGCGTTTTTACCCACACACTCGCGCCTCGCACTATTGGTTTAATTAACCTAAAAAACAATAGACCCAAAAAGAAGTACATGGTTTTAAAGAACCTAAAAAACCAACATCTCTAATTTTGAAGTTTTGTGGAGGTATCACATTTCCCTTTTTAATTCTGACTCCCCCTTTCATAATGTACCTTACTCTCAGTCATTAAAGGTTTAATTATACCTAATTTTTAAAGGGGGTGGGGGGATAACCCGGGGGAAAGGCCTCGGTCAGATATCCAGAACCCCCAGTGGAGGGTCATCATATGATTAAGACCCGCATCAGCAAATCCCGTCCTGTTTCCCTAACGAATCATACATAATTTAAAACCTAACCCTTGATCTACGGGCGCCTTTCCTTCACTCTTTTTTATTTATGGATCAGTGTTTGGTGGGGAATGTGTAAATTTAAAAACCATTTAAAAAAATTTACGGATACTAAAAAAAAACCCTATGGGAAATATCAAGGTTCTTAAATAAAATAAATACCGACATTTTAGCCAAATTCCCTTTTTGCTACAGCCTTAAACACCCCTTGATTAAATCCCAAGCCCCTGGCCTATTCCTTGGCGTGTGATATATGCTCTTGCTTTTCCCCCGGAAATGGTAAAGGGCTGACATAAATACCTTTGGGAAAGCTTAAAAAAATCCAATTTCCATTTTGTTGAAAATGTGGAAGGGGTTTTTTAGGAAAGGGACCAGTTTTGAAAACTGAAAGAGTAAAGGTGGTCGAAGTGCTGGCAAATTTGCAAAATTTCAAAAAGGGGTTGAAAGGAGAGGGGAAAGAAGAGAGAAGAGAGAGAGGAGAAAGAGAGAAGAGAGAAAAGAGAGAGGAAGAGGAGAGAGAAGAGAGAGAAAAGAGAGAAGAGAGAGAGAGAGAGGGGGGAAGGGGGGGGGGGGAATTTTTCCCTCATAAATTAAAACAAAACAAAATCCAAAAAGGGGACTAAATGAAAATGGAGGTATAAAGTTGACAATCGCCGGGATTGAACACGACGGGGGGAGTTTGAACAGGGGGGGAAGCTGAAACGGCTGGGAACTTGAATACGGCGGGGAAAAGCTTAAAACACGGCTGGGGAAGCTTAATACGGCTGGCAAGCTTAAATAGGGCTGGGGAAGCTTGAACATGGCTGGGGAAGCTTAAACAGGTGGGAGCTTAAATAGGGCGGGGGAAACTTAAACACGATGGGGAAGCTTGAACAGGGCTGGGGGAGCTTGAACCGCTGGGAAACTTGAACACGGCTGGGAAGTAAAAGAACACGCTGATTAGCTACACCGGAAGGGGAGCCCGGTGGGGTATAAGGGGGAGAGCGGGTGATCTCTCTGGGTAAAAAATGTCATATAGCTCGTTTTTATTTGGAGAAGTTGGGGGCGAGAGTTAACATAGAGTTCTAAGACTTAAGACGGGTCTTAAGCGTGACCCCTAAAAACCTCATGTATCCGTCGACCTACCCCCCCCTTATTGTCTTGCTTCACTGTTTCTTCCCTCACACTGACACTCATGGCTCTCTCTCTCTTCTCTTTTCCTCCCCTTCTCTCTCTCTCTCTCTCTCCTTTTCTTTCTCTTCTCTCTCTCTCTTCTTTTCTCTCTCCTTCTCTCTCCTCTCTCTCCTTTCTCTCTCTCTCTCTCTCTTTTTTTTTTTTTTTTTTTTTTTTTTTTTTTTTTTTTTTTTTTTTTTTTTTTTTTTTTTTTTTTTTTTTTTTACACAGAGTTTGACAAGGTTAAGGGGATCCTGCTTTATTCAAGTTTTTTAAAGGGTTTAAAGGTTTTCCTAATTTTATTGGCAAGCTAAGAGCTGTTCCCTACTCAGCTCATTTAAAAGCATTTTTTGTTATGAGACATCAAATAGGGAAAGGACGAGTTGGAGCCATTGTGGGCCGCATTTTCATTTGATCAACGACTTTATCTCGTTGACTCATTATGCTTACGAAATTTTTTCTCTTCTCTCTCTCTCTCTCTCTCTCTCTCTCCTCTCTCTCTCTTCTCTCTCTCTTCTCTCTCTCCCCTCACACTGTCTCTCTCTCTACTCTCTCTCACACTGTCCGTGGAATCTGTTTTTTATTAAGAACTGCAAAAACCCCCCTCGCGTGCCTAAGTCATTGGAGGAGGAGCTTTGACTGGGTGAAAATTCCCGTCACTTAAAACAACGGGGTATAGCCCCATAAAAAAGGGGGCAGCAAACATTAGCTAAGCTATAAACCAAAAGCTCTGACGTCCCCCAAACATAAAAATTTTTGAAGGTGCTAAGAAGCGGATTGCAAATCACCTGGATTTCCCCAAAAACTGCACAATCCCGGCAACAGGGGTTTGGGCAGGTCCCCTGCCCCTCAAATACTGGAAAAACTATGATAAAGGCCCTTTGATGCCCGGGGAAAAATCAGAATGCATATGTAATATACCAACTTTGGAAAAGCATTTGACAAAGCGCTGGCGAATAAACGCACAAAAACTGCTAAAGGAATAACTGGGAAAGTGGGGAGATGGATCTTCAACTTCCTAACAAATCAAACACAAAGAGTAGTGGTCAACAGAGTTAAATCGGAGGCTGCCATAGTGAAGAGCTCTGTTCCACAAGGCACAGTACTCGCCCCCATCTTATTCCTCATCCTCATATCAGACATAGACAGAGATATACACCACAGCACCTGCGAGCGAGTATATGGTAACTATAGTTTGATTGCCGGCTGCTTGTTAAGGTAGGGTCAGTCTAGCTCCCGCTATCCCCCCCCCCTTTCTCCCCACCCCGAAAGGTGACGTGTGGGGCTCCGGCCAAACAGTAATCACTCGACTCACAGCTCCCAGCACAACTGTGAGTGAAAGCCTCTGCTCCTATTCTAGTGGATATTGGTTGAAAGCTTCACTTTTGACCAATAATGAACTTAGTCCTTTCAGTTTTAAGCTCCACATGAGACTTTTAGATAATCAGCACCTTTTTTAAATATCTTGCACTTATCATAGAGAGTGATTTCTTAAGCAGTGGATAACCTGTCTCTCTTTCCAGCTTGGAATGACAGATCGGGTCACCTGCCAACCAACGAGAAGTGTTGAAGGAGACGGACTGAAACCGGTCTTGGGACGTCACTTCATGATCTACCTACCTGATTAATTGTACAGGACACTACCACTCATCTTTGCAGTGGTAAAGAACCTGTGTTCCTGTCATCTGGACTGACTATTCAAGGCTATAGACTCTGTGAAGAACTAGTCGTTGGGTTGTCACCAACACCTGTGACCCCCCCCCCCACATCATCAGTAACGGCTACAATTTCTACAAGACAGTGTCAACCTCCACCAGACACCCCAGTATAACTGTACATATTAGCGTTGAATTCAAATGTCATTTTTCTATTTCATTTTTCATTTTTCTTTCAAGTAGGATACACCTTCATGTTTTAATGTTTTATCTTTGCATTACTAAATAATAAAGTGTTTATCTTTGTGAATTATTATTTCTTTTTCTATTCATTAATTTTCCTGAGGAGGAGCCAGCCTTGGTAATACTGTCTGAATAAGCCTTTCTTCCTTTCTTCCTCACACTGACACTCACTATCTCTCTCTCTCTCTCTCTCTCTCTCTCTCTCTTCTCTCTCTCTCTCTCTCTCTCTCTCTCTCTCTCTCCCCTCTCTCTCTCTCTCTCTCTCTCTCTCTCTCTCTTCTCTCTCTTTCTCTCTCTCTCTCTCTCTTCTCTCTCTCTCTCTCTCTCTCTCTCTCTCTCTCTCTCACTGTCTCTCCCTCACACTGTCTCTCTCTCATACTGTCTCTTTCTCACACTGTCTCTCTCTCATACTCTCTCTCACACTGTCTCGTGGAACTCTGTTTTCATTAAGAACTGCAAGAAACCCCTCTCGCGTGCCCTAAGTACACTATGGAGGAGGAGCTTTGACATGGGTGAAATTCCAGTCACTTAAAACAACGGATATAGCCCCACTCCATAAAGGTGGCAGCAAAGCATTAGCTACGAGCTATAAACCAATAGCTCTGACGTCCCACATCATAAAAATCTTTGAAAGAGTGCTAAGAAGCAGGATTGCAAATCACCTGGATTCCCAAAATCTGCACAATCAAGGGCAACATGGGTTCAGGGCAGGTCGCTCCTGTCTCTCACAACTACTGGATCACTATGATATGGCCTTGGATGTACTGGAAGAAAATCAGAATGCAGATGTAATATACATAGACTTTGGAAAAGCATTTGACAAATGCGATCATGGCGTAATAGCGCACAAAATACGTGCTAAAGGAATAATTGGGAAAGTGGGGAGATGGATCTTCAACTTCCTAACAAATCGAACACAAAGAGTAGTGGTCAACAGAGTTAAATCGGAGGCTGCCATAGTGAAGAGCTCTGTTCCACAAGGCACAGTACTCGCCCCCTTCTTATTCCTCATCCTCATATCAGACATAGACAGAGATATACACCACAGCACTGTATCATCCTTTGCGGATGATACTAGGATCTGCATGAGGCTGTCATCTGCTGAGGACGCGGTTAACCTCCAAGAAGATATAAACAAAGTTTTCCAGTGGGCAACGGTAAACAATATGATGTTCAATGAGGACAAATTCCAACTACTCTTTTATGGAAAACTGGAGGAGATAATAACTGGAACAGAGTACACTACAGATTCTGGCCATACAATAGAGCGGAAAAATAATGTAAGGGACCTGGGAGTAGTAATGTCTGAGGATCTCACTTTCAAGGATCACAACAGTGCCACGATCACAAGTGCAAAGAAAATGATAGGATGGGTAATGAGAACGTTCCGAACGAGAGATGCCAAGCCAATGATGATCCTTTTCAAATCACTTGTTCTCTCTAGGCTGGAATACTGCTGTACATTAGCATTTCCATTCAAAGCAGGTGAAATTGCAGATCTATAGAGTGTACAGAGATCCTTTACTTCACTTATAAGTTCTGTCAAGCACCTTAACTACTGGGAACGCTTGGAAGCACTTGACTTGTACTCGTTGGAAAGCAGGAGGGAGAGGTATATCATAATCTACACTTGGAAAATCCTGGAAGGAATGGTCCTAAATCTGCACACAGAAATCACTCCCTACGAAAGTAAAAGACTGGGCAGGCGATGCAGAATGCCCCCAATTAAAAGTAGGGGCGCCATTGGTACACTAAGAGAAAACACCATAAGTGTCCGGGGCCCAAGACTGTTCAACAGCCTCCCATCAAGCATTAGGGAATTACCAATAAACCCCTGGCTGCCTTCAAGAGAGAGCTGGACAGATACCTAAAGTCAGTGCCGGATCAGCCGGGCTGTGGCTCGTACGTTGGACTGCGTGTGGCCAACAGTAACAGCCTAGTTGATCAGGCCCTGATCCATCGGGAGGCCTGGTCATGGACCGGGCCGTGGGGGCGTTGATCCCCGGAATAACCTCCAGGTAGGTCTCTCCTTCACACTGTCTCTTTCTCATGCTGTCTCTCTCTCACTTTCTCTCCCTCATACTGTGTCTCCCTCACACCGTCTGTCTCTCCTTCACTGTTTCTTCCTCAAAGTGACACACTGTCTCTCCATCACACTGACTTTCTCTCTCACTGTTTCTCTCTCACACTGTCTCTCCCTCACACTCTCTCCCTCACACTGTCTCTCCCTCACACTCTCTCACACTCTCTCTCCCTCACACTGTCTCTCCTCACACTCTCTCACACTCTCTCTCTCACACTCTCTCTCCCTCACACTCTCTCACACTCTCTCTCCCTCACACTGTCTCTCCCTCACACTCTCTCACACTCTCTCTCTCTCACACTCTCTCTCCCTCACACTCTCTCACACTCTCTCTCCCTCACACTGTCTTTCCTTCACACTGCTTCTCTTTCACAACTAACCCACAATACTGTGGCTGGAAAACTTATCAACAAATTCACAAACTGGAGATAACCCCCCCCCCCCCCCAGACGACGTTTCGGTTCAGGAAGGATCGAAACACTTATCTCCACTGTGTCGGAGTTAGTTGTGAGAAGACAAAATAATAATGTATTTATTTAATGTATTCGTTTCACCTTGAACGCTTCGGAACTGTTTTAATGCCTTCAAAGATATTTTTACTGACCAGAGCTCAGACGTCTATATCGCATCTGGTTCAAGGTATATATTTCCCGTTTTCTTTTTAGTTTACAGATGTCAGGATATTTTCATTCTTCCTGTTGTCTGAACTACTGGGAAGAAAACTTTTATTCTCACTCCTAATAACTGACCTGTGAGTGCACAGGCTAGTTATTAGGCTAGTTATTATGCTGATTATTAGGCCAGTTATTAGGCTAGTTTTAGACTAGTTATTAGGCTAGTTATTAGGCTGGTTATTAGGTTAGTTTTTAGGTAGTTATTAGATTAGTTATTAGGCTAGTTATTATGCTGGCTAATAGGCTAGTTACTAGGCTAGTTATTAGGCTGGTTATTAGGCTAATTATTAGGCTGCTTATTACGCTAGTTATTAGGCTAGTTATTAGGCTGGTTATTAGGTTAGTTATTAGGGTAGTTATTAGGCTGGTTATTAGGCCAGTTATTAAAATAGTTATTGAGCTAGTTATTAAGCTATTTATTAGGCCACTTATTAGGCTGGGTATTAGGTTATTTATTAGACCAGTTATTAACCTAGTTATTAGGCTAGTTATTAGACTTGTTATTAGGTTAGTTACTAGGTTAGTTATTAGGCTACTTATTAGGCTGTTATCTCTTTATTACAACTAGTTGGCAGTAATAAAGTAATGCCAGTAAACCCAGAAAAGTATTTTTGACACCTGTGTCACGAACCTGGTCATTTTTATTTAGTACTTTCAAAAAGTCAGCTAAATCCAGGAAGGAGATTGTTCACTACGAATATCACATTTAAAATACATGGTGTTTCAAAAGATGGACCCAATTTCAGTATATACTGCTTTGAAATTGGGTCCATATCTTTGAAACACCCTGTATTTACTCTCATTAACTGTCATCAAAACTGCGTTTAGGGATTTAACGTAAATCCACTTGATCCTAATATTTACAATTAAAATTAAATGGTATTCAGTAATTACTAAGATTGGAATATAGGAGTTGATAATTAATAACTTTGACTTACTTAATTTTAAAATTTAGAATAGATTTTAACGTTTACAGTGAGGCTCAGGATATATACCCTAGGGGGAATGTTTTTCTCGGAGTATACTGAGTATGCTGAGTTTTTTATAATCCCTATGTCAGGGGTTAAAGTATTCTTGTCTGGAGAGCGAAACGTTGCCACAATAAAATATCACACTAGTTGCACCTATCACACTAGTTGTACCTAGGGCTTTAATGGCCCTAGTGTAGTGGATAAGCATTAAACTCCATTAACCAACTATCAAATCACTGAGGTGTATAACTGTACTATATGCAAGACGTTTGCCTTCACAACAATGAGAAATAGCAACCATGACAACCTGGCAGTCCTGCACACCAAAGGAATGACAGATACAAACATGGTAGTGAACACAGCTGAAGTCAACATCAACACAAGGGAAGATAGCATGCACACTGCTGACAGCAGCTGTCTTGGGACTTCCTGGGATAAACAAAGTAGACCACGAAACACCCTGCAGGTGAACATAACAGAAAGACTCACACGAATACCAAATAACCCAGTCACTAAGTATAGGGACTCAATTGATCCTCGAGCACCACAGAGCATGTTAGAAGCATTTTGGTATTGAAGTAAATTGTAGAACATAGTTTGCGTTAAAAGAAAGATGGTAATAACCGTAGAAGAAAACGAATAACAGAACCGAGATGGTAATAACAGAAGAACAATGGTAGAAACCTAAACAATGAGAATGTCATGAGACAGGCCCAGGGTTACGGATGTAACATAGATGTGAACACAAGCACCCCTCACAGCAACATCTTAACTAACCTAAATACGATCTCCGTGAATCGCAATTCACAGACTCACCTTTTTCTCACTTACAAGTGCATGTACTATCTGAGAGGTCTAGTAAAACACAGCAAAGGTGAGTGGAAACCAGAAACAGCAGTGGAGAGACTCCCTATCTCTCTCTCTCTCGACTAATTTTGGGCTGAGGTAACTTCAGCTAGGAAGGTGATACAGCGACTGGCTGAGGAAAACAAGAGAATTCGCCGCAGTCTTCCTGAGAACAGTCCTAAGGGCAACAGAGGATGCTGGACAGTAATGGAGAGAAAATGAATGAAGATCAGTGAAGTCCCAGGCGTCACTCAGCTAAGCTTGAGAAAGCTTCAGTTGCCATGTTTAATTGTGAAAAAAGGGGGCTCCCAAAAATTGACTCTTGTGGAACACGGTGCCTTTCCCAGCAGTAGGTGGTAGATCCGTGGTCCACTCCACCAGTAGGTTATAAATCCATGTTCTTCTCCAGCATTAGGTGAGGATCTGTGTTCTTCCACAACAGAAGATGATAGATCTGTGTTCTCCTCCTTCAGGCAATAAATATGTGCTCTTCTCCTTCAGGTAATAAAGACGAATTCTTCTTCTTCAGGTAATAAAGACGTGTTCTTCTTCTTCTCCAGGTAATAAAGACGTGTTCTTCTTCTTCAGGTGGGATCAGAGTGGGTTACTCCCTACGGCAACGCGCTGAAGGAGGGCGTGTCTGGCCTCTCCTTGCACGTCCCCGGAGAGCAGGTGAGCGACGGTAACTTCCCTGGCTAACAGATGAGTGAGGTATATATATATATATATGTCGTGCCGAATATGTAAAACTGGTCAATTAGCAAGAACTCATTTAAAATTATGTCCTTTCTAAAATTTTCTCTTATACGTTTAAACATGAATTTTTTTCATTAATGTTGATGTAAAAATTTATAATTTTGCACCAAAAGAATCTTAGAAAACTTACCTAACCTTATTACAACAAGAACAATTTATTTTAGCCTAACCCAACTAAATATATTTTAGATTTGTTTACAATAATTTAATACTAAACAAACACAGTGAAATATATTTTTTTCGTTAGGTTCAGAATGATTTTGGCGAAATTATTGCATACACAAATTTTTGCTTTCCTATAGGGAAGATAAAACGTTGCTATTTAGCCAAGATAGCAAGTTCTCCCTATTCGGCATGACATATTTATATATAAAATATAATATATTATATATATATTTTTATTATTATTTATTATCACAAACCGGCCGATTCCCACCAAGGGAGGGTGGCCCGAAAAAGAAAAACTTTCACCATCATTACTCCATCACTGTCTTGCCAGAGGTGCTTTACACTACAGTTTTAAACGCAAAAAATTAACACCCCTCTTCAGAGTGCAGGCATGTACTTCCATCTCCAGGATCAAGTCGGCCTGCGGTTTCCTGAATCCTTCATAAATGTTACTTTGCTCACCTCCAAACGCACGTCAGTATAAAAACCCTTTGTCTCATTCACTTCTATCAAACACGCTCCGCATGCTGCTGGAAGTCCAAGCCCCCGCAACAAAAAACTCTTTACCCCCTCCTCCAACCTTCCTGGGCCCACCCCTACCCCGCCTTCCTTCCACTACAGACTGTAAATCTTGAAGTCATTCTGTTTCGCCCATTCTCTCTACATGTCGAACCACCTCAAAACCCTTCCTCAGCCCTCGGAACAAAGTTTTGGTAATCCGCACCTCCTCCTAATTTCCCCAAAACTAACGAATTCTCTGCATTATATTCACACCACCATTGCCCTCAGGGCATAGACATCTCCACTGCTCCAGCCTTCTCCTCGTGCAAACCCTTAATCACCCACGCTTAACACCATAAAGGCGTTGGTAAAACTATACCTCATACATTCCCTCTTGCTTCAAGGCAAAGTTCTTTGTCTCACAGACTCCTAAGTTTTTACACTCATTTTTTCCTCATCAATTCTATGATTCCCATATCTTTTATAGACCATCCGCTGACACCAATCCCAAATATGAATTACTTCACCTCCTCATCTCTCTCCTCCATCTGATATTCAAACTTTTCAAACACCTAATCTTTTGTTTTCCTCATAACCTATCTTTCTGTATTCACCCTTTTAAATTTTTCTTTTGGCACACCCTAAAAATTTATTCACCAATCTCTGCAACTTTCTTTAGAATCTCCAAGAGCACAGTGTCTCAGCAAAGAGCAGCTTGACAACTCCCCCTTTTTGGTGATTCTTTATTTTTAACCCACGCCCCTTGCCCGACCTCCATTTTCTTTTTTCTTACAACCCCACTATAAATATATTAAAAAACCACGGTGACATCACACATCCTTTTCTAAGGGCCCCCCTTTTTTTTGGGAACCCCCCTAACCCCAAAAAAAATTTTAAATTTTTTTTTAACCCCATTGTAGGGGACCCCTGTACCTTTTGGCCATTATTAAACCCTTAAAAAAAAAAAAGGGTTTAAAAATTTTTAAATTCCCTTTTTTTGGAAATTTTTGTTAAGACTTAAGTTTCAATATTTTTCCCCCAATTTTGTTCCCCCTCTTTCAAACCCCATTGGAAGACCCCAAAAAAAGGATAGAATTTATTTTAAAAGAACAATTTTTCCAAAATTTTTTTGGGGTTACCCTATTATTTTTGTATAAAATTTTTCCGGGAATAAAAATTTTAAATTCGCAATTTTTTCGGGAATTTAAAGAGAAGGCTGAAAAGAGAGGTGAAACCCCCTTTTGGGGTTTCTTTATTTTTCCAGTTTGAAAGAGATTTTTTTTTTAAAAATTTAAAAAAAAAAAGGGAAAATAAATTTGAAGGGAATTTTTCAAAAAAAATTTTTTTTTCCCTCAAAAAAAAGGGGTTTTTAAAAAAAATTTAGCCTGCCCCCATTAAAACCCATTAAATTGTTTTAAATTTATAGTTTTAAAATAAAAATTTGAAAGGATTTTAGTTTTTTAAATAGATTTAAATGTTTATGAAAAGGTACCCCCCCTTTTAAACCCTCCTTGTTTTGATTTTTCCCGTTTAAAATTTTTTTTAATTTTTAAAACTTCCGGTAATAAAGAATTTTAATTTTTGATTTTTAACCCTTTTTTATAAAAAAATAGGGCCTTTAAACCTATTTCCAATTTTTCCCCCCAAAAATTTTAAAAATTCCCCAAAAAAAAACCCCCCCCTGTTTTAAACATTTTTTTTATTTAAATGGTTTAAACCCCCTTTTTTTTCCATCCCAGCCCCCCCAAAAAGGTTTCCCATTAAAAGTGATTTTTTCCCTTGCCCATAAAAAAACCAGTTCCCTTTTTTAAATTTAAAAATTAAAAACCCTTAACCCCCCCCAAAAACCCCATTTAAAAATTTTTCCCCATTTTTAAAGCAAAATTTTTTTTTGGCTTTTATTTTTAAATTAAAACTTTTTTTTTTAAAAATTTTTAAAAAATCTAAAATTTTTTGTTTTTTTTTAATTTTCCCCATTTTTTTTTTTTTTTTAATCCCCCTTTATTTTTTGTAAAAACTTTCAACAATTTTTTTTATTTCCTTTTAATTTTCCCCAAACGTCCTTTTCCGAAATTTCCGAAAAAAAGTAAAATTAAAACATTTTTAAAAATCCCCGAATTTTTTTTAAAAAATTTTAAAGTTTTTATCTTTAAACCCCTTTTTTATTTTTAAAAAAACCCTTCCCCCTTTTTTGGGGCTTCATTTTGTTTTTTTTTTATCTTGTGAAAAGGGAAAAAACTGTTAAGGGCCCCTTTATCTGTTTGAAGCCCCAAAAATTTTTTTCTAAATTTAAAAAAAATATGTTTTCCCCTCTATATGTGTAACTTTTTTTTTTTTAAAAATTTGGGTTTATTAAAAACCCTTTCTAACAAATTTAAAAAGGGTATTTTTTAATGGACCCAAATTACCCCCAAAAACCCTAAAGTTTTTTTTTAAAATTTTTAAAAATTTACCCATTGGGTTAAAAGGTTATATTCAAAACCCCCAAAATCCCTTTTTGATTTTTTTAGGGGTTTTTTAAAGCCCCCCCCCAAAACCTTTACTTTTTTTTTTTGGGGAAAAATTTTTATTTTTTTTCCTTTTTAATTTTTTAAAATTACTTTATTCCCCCAAAAGTCCCCGATTTAACCTTTTTAATAAACCCCCCTTCACTTTGGGGGAGGTAATTCTTTTATTAAAATTCGCAACATTGTTTTTGTTTTCCCTTCCCCCGCCCCCCTTTTTAAAAGTTTTTTTTTTTTTTAATTATATTTATATATATATAAAAATTTAATATATTATATATATAATATAATATATTATTTTATTATTTTTTTAAAAAAAATATATTTTTTTAAATTTTTAAAAAATAAAATAGGAAACCACGGGTGAAAATCAGATTTTGTGACTATCCAAATTTAAAATTTTATTATTATATATATATATATATATATATATATATATATAAAATTTATATATTTATATTATAAAATTATATATTTATGTCGTCCCGAATATGTAAAACTGGTTCAATAGCAAGAACCATTTAAAATTAAGCCTTTTTGAAATTTTCTTTTTAAAAATTTTAAAGATATATTTTTTTATTATTTAATGTAAAAATTTTTAAATTTTGTAAAAAGAATTTAGAAAATTACCAACCCTTATTATAACAAGAAAATTTTTTTACCCAACCAACTAAATTTTTTTTGATTTGTTTACAATAATTTAATACTAAAAAAAACAGGAATATTTCTTTTGTAGGGTTTGGAATGATTTTGGGGAAAATTTTTGATACCAAAAAAATTTTGCTTGTCCTATATGGCAGGAACGTTGTTATTTAAGCCAAGATCGTAAGTTTGCCTTTCGGCACACAAAAAAAATATATATATATATATATATATATAATTTTATATATTATATATATATATTAATTTTAATATATATATATATATATATATTTAAATATTATTATATATGTATATATTATGTGTGTATGTTTTGTGTGGTGTGTGTGGTGTGTGTACGCACCTAGTTGTACTCACCCAGTTGTTTTTTGGTTGCAGGGGTCGAGTCCCAACTCCCGGCCCGCCTCTTATGGTCGTACTAGGTACTCCCTGAACCGTGGCTTTTATACCTCCGCTTAAAACTAGTAGGGTCTGCCCCACTAAAACCCCTCCCAAAAATATTCCACTTTAACTACTCTGTGGCTGAAAAATATTTCCCAAATCCCTCTGATTCATTTGTCTTCAACTTCCCAATGTGTCCCTTTTTACTGTGTCCGTCTCTGCAAATTCTGTCTTTTTCCACCCGTCAATTTCTCTCGTATTTTGCATGCGTTTTCATGTGTGTGCGTGACAGGTTGGTGGTGGTTTGGTAGGGTTGTACAAGAAGGAATTAAAAGTGAATATGGGAAAAAGGTAAAGTGATGAGGATAAAAAAAAAAAAAAGGAAGGAAGATTGGAATCATATTGGAGGGAGAGAGTATGGGGAGGTGAAGTATTCGATTTTTAGAAGTGGGTGTCAGCAGATGGTTCATAAAACTGAGAAGGGGGAAAGGTGAGGGTGCACTGGAAGTCTGTGGGGACAAAAAATTTTTTTTATGAAAGCAAAAAGGGGGAAAGTAAGAGGTTAATTATACCCAAAGCTCTTGTTGGGGTGAGGATGGGGTTTTGAAGTTCCGGAGAACGCTAGATCAGTGGAGTGTATGTCTGAAGGGAAAAGTGGTGTGAAAAATTTAATGCAGAGAATCCCTAGTTGGAGATGAGGAG